ATCCCCTCCGAGGCTGTCATACTTCAGTGAGAAACGCAAGCACACTCTCAAACTTGAAAGTGCTATACAATTATTATTTTTAATGCAATTATCTATCAGGGAATATTTAAATGATCTCCCAGAGCCTAGACTGGTATCAAAAATGTGGAGTGCCTAATTGCTGAAAATTATCAAGGATACCCGTGGGGACAATGGGGACTAGTTATGTGCTGGCGAACGCAATCACACAAGAGAAAAGTAGTTAAGAGAGTGCGCCTGAGACCACTATACTCAGCGAGGCCTGCTTGTAAGACTGGCCCTTCACCGGGCTCTGGGAACCTAGATGTCCAGAGGGTTCCCTCCATTCCCTGATAAAAATGGCTCCCTATGCATAAACTGTGCTACAGTATGGTTCACGCTGAGCACGGGCTTTCCTTCTGGGACTCCAGGACTTGGGGACATGCTACACAGAGGTAGCAACATGACTTGCCCCCCGTGAAAGCCCTGGGCACTGATTCTCTAAAGAGCCTACCCGGTCAGTGCACCTGGGTGGCTCAGCTGGTTGAGCCTCTGACTCCTGGTCTCAGCTCAGGTCATGATCTGGAGTCATAAGATCAAGCCCTGCATGGGGCTCCGCGCTCAGCAGGGAGTCTGCTTGAGATTCTCTCTCTCTCTCCCTCTGCCCCTCCCCCTGCTCGAGTGCTTGCTCTAGGTCTCTGTCTCTCAAATAAATGAATAAATCTTTAAAAAAAATAAAATAAAGAGCAACCTGGTCAACAACGTTTCACAGGTGTTGTCACAACCCACTGCTGGGGAGCCCACGTGCCCTGTGTGACTCCTCTGGGGACGGTTTAGAAGCTTGTGCCTGGTTTTTCTGGGCTTTGTCTCAGATGCCTTTTTTCTTTCCTGCTTTTAGTTCATTTCCTTTGGCCAAAATAAATCAGGGCCCTGAGCATTACCGTCAGCTGAGTCCTGGGAGTCCTCCTAGCAAATCGTCTACCTTGGGGGGTGGTCTCAGAGACCCCGACGCACAGCTTCCGGTTGTGGTGGCGACCAGCACAGCCGACACACTCGTGCCTGGCTGGAGAGGCATGCTCTGTGTGCTGCGTGTCATGAAACTGTCCGTGTCCTTTGACTCGGTCATCCCATTCTGGGAACACGTCCTATTGAAACAAGGCAACAGAAAGAGGCACAAAGATATCCATCAGAGCTAATGCTAAATCCGGAAATAAACTAAATGCCCAAGAACAGGGAAAATGGCTAAGTATATTACGACGCACCGATTCTAAGAAACTGATCTAAGTGAGAAGTACAAAGATTATGAAGAAAGACATGAAAAGATGTTTCTGGTGTTAAATTTTTTAAGGCTGAGTACAAAATGGTGGGCAAACTGACAGCAAAGAACTAACAAACGGTAGGATCAAAAGTGACTGTTAAAGTGTAAAGGGCTGGGATGACAAGGGGGTGTGGATAAATTACCTTGAATGCTACTGTTTTCATCATCTCAGAACTTTCTGGGGACTCGGCAGGAGCAGCTGGAAAGGTGTGAACGGTGGCCCTGAATCCTTGGGCTCTCACCACCTTTTATAAAGCCTTTAGGGTGTGTGCATGTGGGGAATAGAGGTTGGTGTTAAGCCAAATTTTTCATCTGGGAAGAGGGAGATCTAGGGGACAGGAAGGAAGCCTAAAGTAGACGGGCAAATACTTGCCCCACCGCAGCCCCTGCCTTCCCGGAGCCCCGCCTCTCCCTGCACCCCATCCCTGCCTCTCATCTGCTGACCCCCATTTCTGCTTCCTCCCGACTCTGCTCAGCAACATCACACCTGCTGCACCGGCTCCCTGCGGCTCCTCGGCCCTGCCCTGCAGGGGGAGCTACAGCGAGGGACCCGCCCTCCGCCGGCCAACGCGGGAAGGGGCAGGGTCTACAGGCGGTGGGCGTGGCTCCTCGAGCAAACCCCACCCACACCTGCCCCGCGGGGCGGATCCTCACTCAGCTTGGCGAATTCTCCCAAGTTGCTGCCACCTGGCCCACTGGGGCCCCGCGAGTCGCTGCACGCCAGAGCCCAGGCTGTTAGGTTCTACCAGAACCGTTCTTGGGGTTGGGAGCAATCCATTAAAATACAGCTCCAGCAACCCCCAAATCCAGGGATTTTTGTCCTGTCCTGGAGGGTTGTATATAAAGTTACATCACAAGGTGTGGGGTGTGGAAGAGGCAATGACTTGCTCAAGGACACCCAGCAAGTCACTGGCAGGCTGGGACTGGAACCCAGTGTCCCGATTCCCTTTGTGGAGGGGGGCGGTCCCCCAGGCTGGGCTTCGGGAGACCCACCCAGAGTGGATCTGGACACTTTTTCCAGCTTAGTGATTGAGGAAACAGAATGTGTTCAAGCTGGACTGGCAGGTGAAGTCTTTCGCCCCACAACATTTTATTTTGAAAAATTTCAAACATACAGAAACGGTGAAAAAAGGGTTCAGTGAACACCCATATACCCATGACCTAGATTCTACAATTAACATTTTGTTGTATTTGCTTTGTCACATTTCTATCTATCCCTCTACCATCTGCCAGTCTGAAGTGGCTTCTAAATTAAAGACCAACCCCCACAGAAGTATTCAGCCTCTACATACATCAAGCACTTGGTCATCCCGGATGCCCTAGCGGGCCTTTTTGGTCTTCTTCCTTGTCTCTGGACCATGTGGCCAGGGGACCTGGGCCAAGGTATCTGGGCAAACACCATGGCTGTTCCAGGCTGTTGCAGGCTGCTCCAAGCCTCAGCCTGCAGTTGACCTTACAAGAGGCGTCCCATGCACCAGTCACTGCCCTCTGTACACACACTCATGGGACCTCTTTCTAGATGTTCGAGGAGGCCAGAGCCACCACCCCTCGGCAAGGTAGAGACCTGTCCTGGCTGTGCTGGGGGCACAGCCACCGAAGAGAGAACAACCACCGGGGCAGCCTGCTTCTGGGCTCTGGGCATTCACCCAGCCCGTCTTTACCGGGAAAACGTCAAGGTCATGGAATGCCAGCCCGCCTGGCCCAGCTCTGGAGGAAGAAGAACCCAGGAGAGAGGAGAGACAGCCCCCACCGGCCCCACCACCTCTGCTTTTGGACTGATGTCCCAGAAGGTCACATCACACTCGGCCCCCTCCTCAGGCAAGCGCTGATGGCCATCACCCACCTCCACTCCGGGCTTCCCCACCGCTCACTTGGGCCATAGCAGTGGTACTGCCCTGCCTCTTGCCCTTTCCTGTGCTTCTCGTTCTTTACACTAACTGCAGGCACAGATCGGGCCAGCCCTGTGGCCGGGGCCCTGTCTGCCAGCCTCAGACCTCACCTCCCCCCCCACAGTCCCCCAATACCAGTGCTCCCTCCTGCGTCCATGCTTTTCCTACTCGCCCCAATTTTTCCACCTGGCAAATCCTCTTCCCCTCTTCACTCCTTGGGGCACCTCTTGCTTGAAAGCAGAATCCCCAGTGCGAGCTCAGGTCGTTGGCTGAACTTGTCCCCACAGGGGGGGGGGGGGGGGGGGGGGGCGGGCGTACCTCTGGGTAGTATGGCTTTGTCAGCGCTGTGTTGTCCAGGGGGGTCTATTTCCCAGCTGCGCAGAGAAGGGAGCACCACGCCCAGCGGATCGGCCCACGGGAAGTTTCAAGGAAAGGGCCGTGCATCTGCCCACACATACAGGGGGCAGTCAGAAGCTGGGAGAGCTGGAAGCGCGGGGTGCTGGGGGCAGAAGCCATGAGGGAGGGGGGCCTGGAGCCACAGAGTGATGTGGGCCGCACTGGGTCAGAGCAGAATCGCGGCCAAAGGCTCAGAACACGACTCCTCCCCCGCCCCCAGGTTCTCCTTGTTTCCTTCAGAGGATCTAAAGTCAAGGCCAGGGCGCCTGGGTGGCTCGGATGGTTAAGCGTCTGCCTTGGGCTCAGGTCATGATCCCATGGTCCTGGGATTGAGTCCCGCATCAGGCTCCCTGCTCCTTGGGAGCCTGCTTCTCTCTCTCTCTCTCTCTCTCTCTCTCTCTCCCCCTCTATCTCTCGTGAATAAGTAAATAAAATCTTTAAAAAAAAATAAAGTCAAGGCCAAGCCTCAGCGAGTAACCAAGGGACCTTGGACACTCCCTTAATCCCTGTGGTGAGAGCCTCAGTTCCCTCTGAGGTAGAATGGGGCTGGAAATGCCTGTCCTGGAGGACCCGGGTTCAGCGAGATGAAGGATGGTGCTTTGTAAGCCATTCCAGGCTGATGCGGGTAGAACGGGTAGTAACTGCGCAGTGTCACTGATTTTCCCTTGCGGGCCACTGCTCAGAACCCCTCCGGCAGCCGAGCGTCGGGCCGGCACCCGCTCTGGAGCTCACAAAGCACTTCCATCCGCCTTCTCGTGGGAGCCCCGCATCCGCGCGTCTGCTGGGGAGTTGAAAGGATGACTATTGTCAGTTCACCGGCCCCAGGAGGGACAGGGGCTGCTCAAGGTCATGTGGCAATTGGAGGACGGGGCCCAACCCCCAACCCCCCCACACACACCCCCTGCATCCTGTCTTTTCTTACTGCCCCAGAAGTCAGGGCTTTGGTCGCTCCTCCTCCCCCATGCTGTTTTGAGGTCTCCAGCCAGGGAGCCAGGGGTCAGAGCTGAGGGGCAGCTGAGCTGGGCCTGGCACAGACGCGGAAACTCTCTCCAGCCCCAGCCTCGGGGTTCAGATGTCACACACACACTTGGGAGCTGCCCTATCCCCCGGGCAACAGTCAACACAGGCAGAAGCTCTCGAAACACAGCTAGGCTCAAGTGCTCTCCCCAGCCGGCATCAGCCACTCTGAGCTTGGGGTCTAGAGGGCCAGTGAGGGGGACCCCTGCACAGACAGGCTTTCCTGGAGTTAAGAGTGGAAGGGGTCCCAGGAGAGGTCGGAGCTCAGACAGGAGCCTCTCTCTCTCTCTCTCTCCCTCTGTCTCTCTCAATTTCTCTATTTCTCTGTGTCTCTGACACACACACACACACACACACACACACACACACACACACACACACCCATGGGGAGCCACGCCACCCCTGGGTTCCGGAGAAGCACATCAGCTGGGTACCAGCTGCCCTCAACCAGGCTGACAGCCTTAGACTCCTCCACGGCCCGGGGTTGCCCTGTGGTGGGCGGGGGTCTCGCCGGCAATCGCCAAACCCCCCAGGCCCCAAAAGCAGAGCACTTGGCACTGGAAACAAATGGTGTGCAGCAGGACCAGCTGTGGAGGGAGCTCTTGGAGGCTGAGAGGAGGGGCCAACAGCACTGGTGAGTGCCCTGCCTGAACCCCAGCTAATTCAGGGTCTAGGAAGCTTCTGGAAGCAGGGAGACCCATGAGAAGGAGTAAGCCAGGCAAATGGTGTTGATGGAAAAGTGCTCTGGGCCAGACCGGAGCCTAGAGGGTGGGAGGGAGAGGTGGGTAGGGGCCAGGTGACCCACCTCCTTCACTCTGGGGGTCCCATCTGCCTTTGGAATAATCTCTCCAGCTGGAGCTCCTGGGATAGCACTCTGGGCCGGCCAGGAAGTCATGACAGCACTGGGGGTTTGGGACGGCCTGGCCCTCTGACCCAGGAGAGAGACATCCCTTCATGCATTCACTCAATCCAGACATTCCTAGGAGAGCCGCCCCGTCAGGCTGTAATGGGGGACAAGACAGCCCTAGACCTGGCTCCTTGGGGCCTCCATTCTCAGGACGGGGCAGCCACAAAGCAAGCAGAGAGACGAAGAAGTACAGTGTGATGAGTGTCAGGGAGTGAGCGGAGGGTGGGCGCCTTCTCTTTACAGAGGCCTCTCCGAGGAGATAGCATTGAGGCGGAGACCTGAAATCTGAGAAGGGGCCAAGAAGAGTTTGGTGTATTTAAAAACGAAACAAAACCAAACAAAACAAAGACTGTCCATGTGGCCGAGGCCGTCAGTGAGGGGACAGGAGCCTCAAGAGAAGCAGTAGGAGGAACACCTCATATACTGTAAAAGATCATAGTTTTAAATGTAATGAGACACCATCAAAGGTTTTAAGGAAGAGCATGATGTGATCTAGCCAAAGATCTGTGGAAAAATTCAAGGAAGGTTTTTATGGTAGAATTCCAACAACTGTTGATGGATTGGAGTGAGAATGTGTGTGGTGTGTATGTGGTGTGTCAGTGTATGGGGGTGTGTGTATATATGGTGTGTTGGTGTGTGTGTACGTGTGTGGTGTGTGTGGTGTGTGGGGGGGATGGGGGCATAGGGTGTGTGTGTGTGTGTGTGTGTGTACACGTGTGGTATGTGGGGTGTGGGTCTGGGTGGTATGTATGGGGTGTGTGTGGTGTGTGTGGTGTGTGTGGTGTTGGTGTGTGCGTGTGCGCTGGGTGCAGGTTATGAGTAGGGTACGTGCAGTGTGGGGGCTGCACATATGGGGTGTGTGCATGTGTGCTGGGTGCGGGCTATGTGTGGGGTGCGTGCAGTGGGGGGTGTATGTGGGGTGCGCGGGGGGACGTTCACAAGGACAGGGCTCTCTGGTGCGGGGCGATCTGAGCAGACCCCGGGGTCTGTGAGGGCGCAGGAGGACCCGGGAGCTGAGCGGATGTGGGCGCGGGGAGGAGGTGTCAGGGGGCCGTACCCTCGAGCCTGGACCGTTAGTTGGGGGAGCGGCTCCGGGGGTGAAGATGCAAGAGCTGGTGGGGTATTCAAGGCCGGACACATCCGGGTGGCCGCCCAGGAGGCCGCGGAGTGGCAGGAATCAGGAGCTGGGCACTGGCCCCACAGGGACGAAAAGCAGAGAGGCAGCCAGGCATGGAGGGGAGAATGGACGTGACCACTGAGGGACAGGGCGTTTCTCCTTGGGGTGACAAAAAGAGCGGTGATGGTGCAGGACTCTGAATATACTGGAAACCACTGGACCAGACCCTCTGCAAAGGTGAACCTTATGACACGTGGATCTGCTCTCGAGCGAGAAAGAACCCACAGAACGTTGGTGCCGCAGGCATGACATGCTCCCCCGGGGAAGGGCGTCGTGTGTCCCCAGAGATGAGGTGGCAGCACACAGCCAGCAGCAGTCACCAACGGCAAGTAGCCAGGAAACTGAGAGAAGCTGCCAGAGAAGAAAGGGGTTCCAGACCCCAAGAGGAAGAGTTTAGGGAAATCCAGAGCCGCGCTCCCCACAGAAATACAGTATGAGCCACACCTAAAATCTTCCATATTCTAGAAGCAGCCTTAATATATATATATATATATGACAGGAAACTAGTAAAATCCATTTTAATGGTGTATCTTATCCAAAATATTATCTTTGGGGCATGTAGTCAATATTTTTAAAAGTATTAAGGGGATAATTTGACATTCTTCTTTGTACCAAGTCTTTGAAATCAGGTCTCACAGCACCTGAGATTGTGCTCCATAAACCCCCCTCCTGAGGTTTTTCTGGATAGAGAAACTGAGGGCACAAGAACACAGTGCCCTCGTTCGGAGCCACATAGCCGGCGCAGGCAGCAGGCAGAGCGAGGACAGGGGCCCGGTGTTCCCACCTCCTACCTCACTGGCTCTCGCTAAGTCTTAGTGTGGCTCTGAGGTCAAGGTCCCTGCCTTCTGTCAATTCAAAACCAAAGCTATTGAACCATGGCTCCCGCATGACAGAAGAGGGGGTGCTGGTGGGTGGGAGGGTCGGGACGCTTGGGGAGGATGGGAGGAGATGAACGGGCGGGGGGGGACGCGAGGGTCAACTGCAGAGGGGAAGCAGATGAGGGAACAGGGCCCCCAGGAAGGGTCAGGTGGGAGGTTCCCAACGTCTCAGGAGGGTAGGCTAAAGACAGAGAGCTCGGCTCAGTCTGAGCATGGAACAATGAGGCAACTTGGAAAAGAACCAAAAACAACCTCTAGAAAAAAAATCTGTAATGTTGAAATACAAAACACAACTGAAGTGAGCATCCATAAACTCAGATTCATCACAATTCCTCGGAAAGACAGGGAGGGGAAACACATGGAAGAAGAATTAGAACCCTAGAGAACAGAGCAGGCAGATCCAACATACCTTTCAACAGAGCTCCCCAAGGGGAGGCGGGGAGAGATGAAATATTAGAGGGGGAAAGTGTTCGAGAATTTTCTAGAACCAAAGAAATGCACACATGCACAGACACTGGAGGATGTGCTCCACAACAGGAGAGTACCCAAGAAAGGAAGGCCTGGGACCCCGAAAGAGGGGACCCCCGAGGGGAGGTCAGGATGGCCAGAGCGGGTCCTGGGCAACAACCCTCGTGGGAGCAGGGCGACCCAGTCTCCCAGACAGTGGCCTCTAGAGAACAAACGCGAATGAGCCAGTGGAGTGCCTGTTGCATTTGACTGTGTGGAAGATCATACGGGGCGGGGGGGGGTTTTACAATTTTGCTGGAGAGTGTGGAATCAGTGATCTGTACACAGAAAGCTAAGAAAACCAGAGGGATTACAAACCCTAGAAAAAAATTCCAAGTTGTCCAAGGAAGGAAGGGGGGTCCCATGATCCTAGATAGTTGCTCAGTGAACAGTATTTACAGAATCCTAAAGATATAAACAATACATATCAGCTCAGCCAAAATCCATAATATAATAGTTTTGGAAGAAATGAGGGAAGGGAAAAGGGGCAAGAAACCTAACTCCTAATCTCCCATAATAGAAAGGCTACAGATATGTTTAGTTTCAAAAACCCAAGAAATGGCAACCTGGATCTACCATTCCAGAATATGACCGTGATGGGCCCAAAGAAACAGCAAAAGGGCTGGAAACGTGACCAGAGGCTGTGGGGCTCGGGGGCGGTGAGGATTGGGGCAGAGAAGCCTGTTTTTATTTTAAGTCTCACAGAATTGTTCAACTTCTTAGAAACAGATTAAAATAAAAATTAAATTAGCAGCACAGGTCAAAGGCCCTTCTCGTTGTCACTGTCCCGGTCTCCTGCCCTGCCCCACCGTCCTCTGCTGTGCACACTGGGAGGCTACCAAAAAAAGTGAGGTTTTTCTTCATGAAACACTTGAGGGCTCCCACATGGCTCTGAAAATGCAGAGGCACACAGTGGGCTTGCAGCTCTGCGTTCCCCATCACGGGCCACCTCCCCTGGTACACACATCCCACTCCGGGAAATGTCACGAATCCTTGAGATATTTGCTCGGTGTGGAGGCCACGCCATAAATACTTGGTTGGTTTGGGGTGTTTGCTTCACTGGATTATTTTAGTTCCCCCGTGACGTAATCAATGCATCGGGCGGCTTCGACTCGTTCACCTGACACAGTGAAAGCCATTTGTTAAAAAAAAGTCACGGGATGATATGTCACTGCCCACGTGTTTTCCTTTTCAGGGCTCAGCACTGGAGTTTCCTGAAAGACTATGACCCCCTGGTAAGGCCAACGACGTTCCTGACATGCACACTTGCACCGGGCATGTCTGCTCATTCATCTAACGTTTATGGAGGACCTACTGGGTGCTGGACGCTGGAATGGACAGAGACAAAAAAAATATATATATATACTGTCTTGTGTCAAGAAACTCAGGGTCTGGGGGAAAGAAAATGCTTAGAGCATTTAGATATTAGTTTTCCCCAATGTTTCTAGATTTTATTAAGATGAACCAACTGGAAATGATAGGTGTCTGCTTCGGGTAACGTTTTCCCCCGTATGAGGATGTCAGCAATGTGTCCCGAGTGATGTGTGGGGGGTGCCCCATGTGGAGATGAGCTTGGGGCAACATACGTTGGAAACGAATTCCCTGCTTCTAATATCACCACCTCCAATCCGACTCCACATTGCTACCAGGATAACTTTCCTAAGCCACAAAACTGACCCTATCTCTCCCCCGCTTAAAATCCTTCAATACATCTGCATTTTTCAGGGTGGCTCACAACGCTTCCCATGATCTAAGCTTGCCTGCCTCCCCACGCTGACCTACACGCTCTTTTAGCCACGCCTTTGAGCATGCTCTCCCCCTGCCTGAAATGCCCTCCCCACCTTGACAGTCTGGTGACTCTTATCCATCGTTCACGTGCCTACTTCTAGAAATCTCGTCTTCCTGAGCAGGCTTGGTCCGATCCCTCTGTTCTTTACTCGCCAGCATATCCAACCCACTGCTTTGATACAGTCTGTCATGTTCCAGTGATCCACTTCGGCAGGCTGTGGGCTCCCCAAGAGAAAGGACAAAGCCAGCTTCATCCTGTACCCCACTTACCAGCCATGCCCTACCCCCCAGCACCTAGCAAATATTCAGTACTCAGTTCATATTGCATAAATGACCGAATGTTGGATGAATCTGGCTGTAAGAACGGTCACAGAGGGGCACCTGGGTGGCTCAGTCGTTAAGCGTCTGCCTCCGGCTCAGGTCACGATCCCGGGGTCCTGGGATCGAGCCCCGCATCGGTCTCCCTGCTCCGTGGGAAGCCTGCTTCTCCCTCTCCCACTCCCCCTGCTTGTGTTCCCGCTCTCGCTGTGTCTCTCTCTGTCAAATAAAAAAAAAAAAAAAAAATCTTTAAGAACGGTCAAAGAACCAACCTGGTAAATGAGCAGCGCGCCCAGTCATCCCAGGCAGTGGCCATGCCTTGCCAGCTTTAGGGGAAGGTTTAACATCTGCCTTCCCAGCCTGTGGGCTTGGGGTAGAAGCCCTGGGATAGAAGATGTCGTTCATGAGACCTGAAATCCTACCCTGAGCTCCTGGCCTGGGCTTCCAGCCTACAGAGTCCCCCTGCCAAGGGCTAGGGATTAGCAACCTGACCATCGCCACCTGCATCACACCCAAAGGTGTGGGGCCCCCTCGGCCTGGAATTTCCTGGGGAAAGCGCAGGTCCCGTTCCTTCTGTTCCTTTGCTGGTCCTCTCACCCCGATTTGCCCCAGGGTGGCCCCGAGTGCACCCGGCGGGAGGGCTCATCAGATTCTTCTCAGCTCATGCAGTAACTCACTCATTCACCTTCCAGCCATGTGCGCAAATATTCAGACCCCCAGGCGGGGAGCAGACCCAAATGCCATCCGTGGCCAGGTGGGTAAATAACGTGGAACGTTCACCCAAGCCACACGAGGGGGCGCACCATGTAGCAAGGACAACAAAGGAGTTGTAGCCACACACAAAAACGTGCACGAACCTCGAAAACACGTTCCTGAGAGAAAGGAGCCACGGTCTTACTAAGATAAAGTGCAAAACCAGGAGTTAGAGAGGGAGCCCGGGCTGCCTCGGGGGTGGGGACAGTGACTGCGGGGTCTGAGCAGCTGGGTCCGGGTCGTGTGGCACTTCCCTACCCGGGTAGGGTTGCACAGACTTGCTCACGGCGTGGAGGCTCGTGGGGCCGGACGGTTATGATGTGGGGACATTTCTGTGTGTATGTGTGACTGGCTTCCCCGGGGCGGAACTGGGGTGGAGGCAGCTGGAGGATGGTGCCTGCAGAGTCCACCTGCCCCCTCCCCCTCCCTTCCCTGCTGAGGGCCTGGCTGCGTGCACGCCTCTCCCCCGTTCCCTGCAGCTTGTGACACCGCCTGTCCCCTCTCTTCAGGGCGACAAGAAGGAGCCTGTGCAGTTGCCGGAGTACGTGCCTCTCTTTTCCGACACAGTCCCCAGCTCCACGAACCGGGTGGTGGGCAGCAGGGTGGACACGCCCCTGGGGCAAACCCTCATCGGCATGGACTTCTTCTTTGTGGACGGAGTCCGGAAGAAGAAGCTGGAAGTCGAGCTGCAGCCCGTGTAGGAGGCGGAGGTGGGTGTAGGGGTGACGCGGGGAGGCTGTGGGCTGAGCCGGCCCCTCGGCCCCAGTCAAGGGCCCACACGCGTCAGCCGGTCTTTCCTTCTCTCCGGGCCCCCACACGGCTTTTCCGAGGGCTCCACTGGCCTGTTTTCACTCATGAGATTAGAAGGACTCCAGGAGCTTGCCCTTGGTCTTGGACCCGGCAGGGCTGGGGACTCCCTCTCGGGACCCGTGAGAGGCAGCCCTGCGTCTGTGGGCACGAGCTGACGGTCTGGGTTCAAATCCTGCTCCCGACTCTGAGCGGCTGTGTGACGCTGGGCAGGTTGTTCGAACTCTCTGTGCCTCCATCCCCCGCACCCCGGACATGGTGTACTGGTTTCCTATTGCCGCCATCACAGTGGCCACTCACCAAGGGGCTGCAAACAGCACGTACGTCCTATCTTACAGCGCTGGAGGTCAGAAATCCAAAGTGGGTCTCACCGGACTGAAATCAAGGTGTGTGAGGGCTGCGTTTCTTTCTGGAGGACAAAGGCATCGGACTCCTCGCCTTTTCCAGCTTCTAGGGAGAGGTTGCCCACATTCCTTGGCCCGTGGCTCCCTCCTCTCTGAAAGCAGAATGGTAGCATCTCCAATCTCCAAACCTCTCTCTCTCTCTCTCTGCCTCCTCCCCTCCATCTTTTAAGACATCCAGGATAATCTATCCATCTCACAGTTCTCAATTTAACCAGGATGCAAAACCCCTTTTGCGTGTAAGGTAACATATTCCCAAGCCCCGAGGATTAGGACAGGGGCGTCTTTGGTGGGCCATTTTTCTGCCCACCACGTACAGAAATAATAAAAGTACTGATTCTAGAAGGTTGTCGTGGAGATGACATGGGCTACCATGTGTAACTGTTCAGAGCAGTGCCTGGACCATGGTTATGAGGGTGTGGTTCCCGAGGACACCCTTCTCCTGGGAGGGAGAGTAGCATCCTGGTGAGCGATGCAGGGAAGATATGGGTCCTTACACAGGGGCTGCTGGGAGGTCCGCCCTTGGGTCAGTCTCTCCACCTCCTTCGTTACTGTGTGATGGTCTGGGTGGTGACGGTGAGGCTGGAGCCAAGCCGGGAGGAGCCCACCTGCGGAGCCCGAGCTGAGGTCCTGCCGGCCACCCCTGGGGCCCAGACCCACTCCACACCCTCTGTGCTCTGGGGAGGCCATGGGGACGCTGGGCCTGGGCTCAGCCGCAGCAAGAAAGGGGAGCAGGGGCGTGGGATCCAGATGGGGTCTTATTTCCATTTGAGAGAGAGGGTGGAAGCAAGCGATATTCTAGGAACTCCCAGGAGGTAGGAAAAGTCGAGGTTAAATGCAGATGCTGGTGGCGGAGCCCATGCCGGCCAGAGGGAATCATCCAGAGCTTCTCTGCCTGTGTCTGGCGGGAGGGTAGGGAGCCCAGGGACAGATGTGGGTTCTGCCACTCCCCGGGAGCAGAGCCACCTACAGACAATGCGACTATCGAGCACAGACTCTGTACTTGGCACATTACCTGAATGGTCTCTTGTAAGGGTTATTGCCACCATCTGAGAGATTTGGAAACTAAGCTGAAGACGTCATTCGATCTGGCCGGGGTCCCACAGCTAGTGAAGAGCCAGACTCACGCCTGACTCACCATACCGAATTCTTCTCTCCGGGCCTCAGTCTTCACAGCTGTAAAATGGGGGCAGAGAGACTGATTCCCTGGATGTCACCAGCTCAGCGCTCTATCTGTGGGCGGGCAAGCATGCAGCGAGTACTGAACCATGCCGGTTTACCGAGCGCATTAGCGGGCTGTTGTCACGCTGTGTGACACACCACACGCCATTTCTTGCTCACAGGTCTGCACGGACTTGGCCCCAAGCTTCAGGTTGAGTCCAAGTCTGTCCATATGTCTCTCACTACCCTGGACCAACAGCTTTCTGGGGCACGTTCTCGTGGCACATCACCAGAGCCCAAGAGCCAAACCAAACCATGCAAAGCTTCTGCAAGGGCACATCCGCTAGCCTTTTATTGGCCGAACAAGTCGCGTGGCCATCCCCAGCCTCCCTAGGGCAGGAAAGCATACCTTGCCCACAGCAGGAGGGTCAGAAGGCAAATGTTGGCTGAGTAATAATCCCAACTATGATGCAGAGGATCTGACTAATGGCATGAGTAGCTTTGGGCAATAGTTTTCTGTACACGGCTTAAAATAACACCCGGCATAGAGCTCTGGGTCTCCAGCTGCATGCGGATCAAGTCCTTGACTGCACGGGTCCCAGACTGGTCCTATCCAGACTTGGACAAGCTCCTTGGACAAGTTCCTGCCCCAGCTTGTGCCTGACCCCACCGTGGGACTGTGGATCAGGAGCTCTCAGCCTGAGAGACAGAAGGCTCGTCTGTGGGAGTTGAGAGGGCAGATCCCTCAGCTAGGGGGCTCAGGGAGGAAGTCCTCCTGCAGAAGGAGCCACCGAGCTGGTCCTGGGGGGCGGGGGGTAGAAGCCAGGGAGGTAGAGAGGGGAGGGGCTTTCTGCTGCATGGGACAGACACTGCCAGGAAGGGCTCCAAGGCTGGAGAGCAGCCAGGAGACTAGCCCTGAGCAGAGAGCCCTTGAAAATAGCCTCCGTCTGCACTCTGCAGCCCACCTGCACATGGCATCATCCCAGGAGACCCCTCCTCACTACCAGCCGGCCATACCTTCCCTTCCCCGCCACACCTGCTGGGAGCCAAGGACATTGGGGCGGAGGGGGGGTCTGCCTCATGTCTCCTTGGGACCAGAGCAGTGGGCTGGGCTGGGAGAAGTGGCACCAAGCCTGTGTGTCGGCACCAGCAAAGGCAAGAGGAGCATTAGAAACAAGCAGACGAGGCATCTCACCGCCCAAGGCCGGGAAGGGCTGGAATTAGGGGCTAACAAGCCAGAGTAAGGCTGAGGGATTCTTTCTTTGCCTTTTATAACCGCTTCTCTGAGTCCCTCTGCCTCATTCTCCTCTCTGTGGCAGCATCTCTGCTGTCACGCACAACAAAACAAAACAAAAAATAAGACCACTGTCCAGGGAACATACGAGGTGAGCCCAGAGTTTCTTCCTACACCAGTAAGTAAGGAAGTGTTCAAGACGGGATGGGGAGCCTCAAAGGGATGGATGTCAGAACCAGCCTGAAGGGGCTCCCAGGGGCCAAATTTGGGACAAGATGAGCAGCAAAATGATGCCCATACCTGACTTCACCTGTGGCCACCCACCGCTTCCAGCTTCCGAACAAAACCAGTGCCCACAGATCCCATCAAAGTGTAACAACAACAACAACAGTAACAAAGCCATGAGTTCATATCAATAAGTTAAAAAATTTTTAAGTACAGGAAGGAAAGCTCTTCTCTACTGAAGAACGTAGAATAAATGATAAAAACAGAAAATCACCATTTTGTCACTGATTTAGGTAAGAATCAGTAAAAGACACTAAAAGCACTATGGGAAAGATTCTTAGGGAGTGATAAATGGTGAGGTCTGGGAGACTCCCCTTAACAACACAGCTTTCTGTTTAAGATTTTATTTTTATTTATTTGAGAGAGAGAATGAGATGGAGAGAGAGAGCGAGCATGAGACGGGGGAGGGTCAGAGGGAGAAGCAGACTCCCCGCCGAGCAGGGAGCCCGATGCGGGACTCGATCCCGGGACTCCAGGATCATGACCTGAGCCGAAGGCAGTTGCTTAACCAACTGAGCCACCCAGGCGCCCAACAACACATTATTAAACTTCACCTCGCCAACCAGAGGACAGCGGACGGCAGGTGCCTCCTGATGGGACCCGCTGGGGAGGAGCGCCCGCCCTGGGAGCACTCCCGCTTGCCCCACATAATCTGAGCCACATCATGAAGAGACACCGGGCGCACCCCAGTAGAGGGCACTCTGCCAAACGGCTGGCCTTGACTCTTCAAAACGACAATATCATAAGAGACATGGGACGGCTGAGGATGTGATCCATATTAAAGGCAGTGCAGAAAATATTCAGGACCAGCTCCCACGACAAAGCAAAAGCAGCTCTAAGGGACACTTTGCAGACTAGGCATCAGATGATAGAAACTAAATAGTAGGTAATAGCATTGCACCAATGTTAAGTTTGCACAGCATGATCGTTCCAGCAAGGTGTTGTCGGAGAACGCCCCTGTTCTTAAGAGATGTATGTGCAGCGGTTGGGGTAAAGTGTCGTCATGTCTAAGACTCACTTGCACTGCAGAGCCCCCATCCTGGCAGCTCCCCACCCTCCTGAGGATACAGAGGAGCGCCAAAGCTCAGCCACCCAGTCAGATGGGCCAACGTGCTACGGGATGTCCCAGCTGGGACATGGGGGCTGGCATTCCCCATCTTCCTGGGGGGCCCATACCTGACTCCGCCCGGGGTAACCCACTCCCCACAGCTTCAGGAGCAAGGCCAGTACCCACAAATACCCAAAACACTCCACTAGTTTGCACTCGGTAAGGAGCTACCATATATTATATGCCTACTGTGTGCCTCTCAGAACATTTATGAGGTGGGTATGATGATCCCTATTTTAAATTGAAGAAATTGAGGCCTAGGGAAGTTAAGAGCTTGCCCATCTCACACAGCCTGTAAGGGCCACGCTGGGAAGACAGCAGAGGCTGGCAAGACGCCTGGGTCCCACGCCCACATCAGCCACATGCGGGGCCCCGTGCAAAGCCGCCAGTTCAGGGAGACGCTTACGGCCAGGGAGAAATCCCCTTCCCACAACCCTGCTTCAGCCGGCTGACCCCCAGAGCGGGCAGCTTCTGTCTTTGGCCTGGTGGTTTCGTTTGTCCCACACTGGAGAAGGACAGCTCTGTCTTACACAGGTCCCGCAGGCAGGGAGCACTCCCAGAAGAGTAGGGACAGGCTGGGCCCCGGGCTGGAGCCTCTCTCTGCTGTCACTGCTCCTGTGGGCCCAGGATGAAGAGAGGAAGAGCAGCTGGGGAGGGAGAGGAGGGGACCACAGCCACTTGGCAGGGCCAGGAACTTCCAACGTG